GGGAAAGAGCACAGGTTTTGGGCAAGCCATTGTTCTCCATTTGTCGATAGATATCTTCAACAGCATCCATCATCTCTTCTTCAGTAGGTAAAAGAATCTTTCCAGATAAAACTCTTGCAACATACATAGATTGTAATTCAGCAAGAAGAAAGATAGCCTCCTGATCACACCAAGTTCAATTCACCTTCTCAGTTACCCAATATTATTAAATTCAATAATTTATACTATATATAATCAGAATATTTCCATTGATAATTGATTTGATCTCTACTTTTTATTAAACTATTCTATTCCTTAATTGGTAAAGAAAAAAAAAGGTAAAAAATTAATGTATTTTTAGTCCTTCATATCACAATATCTTACATTTGCTGAATAACTATTAATAATTATTTACTAAATTTTTTATTTTAAAAATTAAAAGGTATGAAATATTTCTTTTTCACTAATTTATATATGTTATAAACGAGATATTAGTAAGCATCTTCTTGATTTCCTTTTTTTATTCTTAAATTTAAAATTATTTTTGTTGCAATAATTTTCTATTAAAACTCCTCATGAACAGATACATAAAAACATGAAGTGTTCTTTTCCCTTGCAGGTAACAACAAAGCAAATGAATCTTCGAAGGAAATGATGAATGTTGATTCGCATTAATAATAATGACCTTGTGCTAACCCTAGACACAGGTTTGAACCCTTTTCTTTGGAGGGATATCTCACATTCAAATTTACATGATTGGTTCTTTTTGTAATCATCAACTTTATCATCCACAAAACAAAATCCATCCCTAACCCATTCTAACATATTTTATTTAACTGATATTAAAATATGGCTTGCAGAAAGTGTATTCATATACTAAGAGTTAAGGCTAGTCATTGAAGCCAAGGTTTTCGAAATATGCTTGCAACAATTGTTGGAATTTAGTGCTGTTTTTTCACAATAATGGAAAGAAAAGAAGGGGAAAATTTAATATTCAACATAACCTTGGTGGCGATCCCAATGAAAGAAAGCCAAGGTGCTAATGCTGGAGGAAAGATGTGTTTGTATAATGGCCCAACACATTTGTCTTCAACTGTTACAATTCCTTTGGTTTCAAGAAATGGAAAATGGTATTTGTATCTGTGAACAAATTTAGGCACAAAATCATTCCATATGAAGTTATTTTTAGGGTTGACTTTTGGTTCCTTTATTATTATAATTTCACAAAGTTGGTTCCTTCTTTTCTTTTTGTAAATTTGACTTCATACTATTTAAATCGTATAATTCTGATTCATTTGTTAACAATATGTAATGACACTATCTGAAACTGTTCTGTCAGCACTCTATGGTTAATATGTAGAATTAGCATTTTGGTTAAATGTTGGATATATCATATTATTAGACAGACTAAAATTACATAATTAAAATAGTGGAGTTCAAAACTGTAAAAACAAAATAGAGGAACAAATTTCACAAAATGACCATAGTAACAAAACTCAAAAGTGAAACTAAATTTAATTGCTATGAGTAAAGCAACAATGTATGAAATATGGGCATCAATTGATTCTTAAAATTTGTATTTATTTATTATTTATTTTTACTGCAGAAACGATACATGTCAACTAATAAAGATAAAAATGCTTGAATTTCTTAGTATACCCAGTACAGTGGATTATGGTATCTGCGAAAATTGATGATCCATCTTGAAAGGTAATCGAGCCATCTTCATTCACACATTTTATCTGCAAAGAAAATAAAACTACAAGGATCAATGGCATTTATATATCATATAAAAACGAAACAGCTAAAAATATTTAGTTTCTTTTATATATCAAAAGCATGTCCAAACTTTTTCTCTATTTGAATGAAATTTTATAGTATGACATTCATTTTGCAAACCACATACACTTCAAAACATGGAGCTAGACCCACCAATTTTAATGTTTATAAAATATAAACATTTGGATAATGTCTTTAATTCCACACGTTAATTTGTTACACATTTTAATTTAAAAACAGTTATCCACATTAATTTGAACACAAATCTCAATTATATTTATCTAAAATTTTATTACAGTCTAATATAAACATAGGATTTTTTTTAGTCCATGATAATATAAACATATAGTTAATTGTAAGTTCATATTTTGTTTAAAATTTGAAAAGGTCTCTTGTTTAAAATAGGCCATTGTTGACAGACTTTAAAAACACCATTTCTTTCTCTATTTTTTCATCTTCTTATTTTATTTAATCTCCAAATAATAAATATTTTTCACATTTTTTTTCTTTCCTTCGTATTTATTTTATTTGTCATTCAAACATGTCAGTTGAGAGACTAAAAATACTATTTTTAAAACATTGGGAGACTTTCACAAATAAATTAATAAAAAAAAATAGGAGACTGAAAATGATGATATTTTTATGAAAAAAAATATTAAATCTATTTTTTTAATTTAACATATTTTATAATAAAAAAAACAAAATAAGAAATTATTATAAAAAATATTCTAATCACCCTCTGTTTATTCAGCTAAAAAATGAAAATGGTGAATGATGATGAGATTAAACTTCAAATATATTGCCCAGCGAGGTGTCAACCTATACGTGTATATAGTTCATAGGGTTTAGGTAAACAGTTTAAGTATATTCTCTATTGTAATAATAATAAACAAAGTTTAAATATGATTTTACTCTTAGTAAAATAAACGAATTTTGACCTGTAAATTTTTTTTTTCATCTTCTAAATTTTGTAAACATTATTTTTTATTCTTGTAAAATGATAAAAAAAAAAATTGTTTTAGTCCTACTTAAACATTCTTCTTTAATTCTTATCTCTCTAAAACTTAAAGTCACTATTTTTCTAATAATCATTTTAAAGTATATAAATAATATTTATTTTAAAGTTTTATAAAAAATAATAATAAAAGTATCATTAATTAACTAACAATGTATTACATATGGTTATAGATACTACTTAAAATTGTCACTTGACTTTCTAATAAACAAATAAGTAATTTAAGAAAGATTATAGAGTAATAAGACTAAAAACATAGTTTAAATTTTAGAAAGATAAAAAAAATAAAGAAAAAAATTTACTAGAACCAAAATCAAAACCGACTCACTTAACATAAAATAAAAACATATATAAATTAACCTGTAAAGAATATAGAATTGAGAATCTGTCTGCTAGTAACATAATAGGTAGAAGCTGTATATATACATACCATATCGTGGTAAATTAAATTTTCAAACTTGACACCGAATCGATTATCTTTGACTGCTATATGAACCTCCTTCGCCGTTGGTAAAATATCTTGTGAGATATCAAAAGCACTAGGTCCATAACCAACTAAAAGCACAATCTGTAGAGATTTGCAATGAATTTTGTAATTAAACAACAAAACAAGGTGATAAGCAATGAACAAATTGACTTAAGGGTAGTTAATGTGCTTAGTAATGATGTTAACATATGAAGCCGTTGAAAGGGTATGTACAAGTTTCTGTGAGCTAAGTTCAGAAAGGATAATAATTCATTTGAGCTAAAAAATAAATAAATAAGAATATGCTTGGATATAAGTTGTAAACGTTTTTTTAGAAATTCTCTACTAAAAATAAAAAATATTTTTCAGTAAAAAAAAATTCTCAAAAACATTTTTATTTGTACCCAAACAGAATTATCTAAGATTTAATTTGTAAAATAAGACTTAAGCTCAATGAAAATATAGTTTGAATAGGTTTATGCAAGCAATACTCATAACAAGCTAAAGATTTGATTTAATTGATGCTCCAAATTTGAAGTTAAGGCCTAGTGGTTGAGCTCAGTACAACCCAACCTAGTTTACTACATATTGCAAAGACTAAATGGGAGGCAGAGAAAATTAACTAGGTGGGACATGAAGAAAGGTATAGGAATTTATCAAAAGGGATGAAAAAAATTCTAAAAATTAAACTTAAAACTATGTAATTTTATTTCTTCTAAAAGTAACCAAATTCCTTTTGTTATAATGTTCCTTTTGTATAAAAGAATCACCTTTTTTTTAGAAAACAGTCAATTTTTATTTCAAGAGTTTGTTTCAGTAACCTGAAAAAAACATATGCACTAAGAGTTTCACTAACTTTTTTTCTTCAGTAAAAGAACTATACCTATAACAATAAGTTATTATGATTCTTATATACAAATTTTTATTAGAGAAAAAAACATGAAGTAACAGTATAAAATATTTTTACATTATTACCTAATTAAAAATTATAATATATAATAAATTTGTTGACTTTAATATAAAAATACATTAAAGTAATACCAAATGTTTTTTTTAATATAATTATAAATAAGAAAGAGATTTATTTTGAAATGTATTAACTACTAATTTGTTTCATTTATCATAAAATTTATTAATGAGACACCTATTCAACTCTCATAAGCGAATGCACAGTTATACTCAATATTGGAAAAAAAAATCACTTTCAGTGTCTCAACAGGAAAGGCTCGTACTCTGTTAAATCTGCTTATTATCTTATTATGGAGTCCCTGTTATGCAACTCTATCTCAAGGCTCCCTGGTGATTTGAAAAAGTTATGAGCTTTACTTATTTCACATAACATGAAAATTTTTCTTTGGAGACTTCTTAGAGACTACCTTCCTTCACACCAACGCCTTCAGCAAAAGGGAGTTCCTTGTACCTCCCTTTGTCCCCACTGTGAAGCTGCACAAGAAAACAATTGCACATCTTCTTTGGTTGTCAAGAAGCACATACCGTATGACAAGCAACTGGCATATGGCAACATATTAAACACTTAGTAGATGTAGGTGAAGGAATTGTAGAGGTCATCTTTTCCTTACTTGGCAGCATATCTCAAAGCCATATTGTTGAAGTCGTGGTCACGCTTGGCTGTATCTGGAGGCGTTGGAATGCTAAGGTTTGGGATCAGGGCACCCCACCTTCAGGTGTAGCCATCTCACAAGCAAAACAACATTTTCAGGATTGGCAAGTGGCACAAGCAAGATCATCAACACAAAGGATCCCTCCTGTACACGATCTATAGTGGAAAAAGCCCCATGTAGGGACATTTACGTGCAATATTGACGCTGCTCTCTTCCAAGACTCATCCTACTTTGGGTATAGCATGTGCATTCAAAATGATCATGGACATTTTCTCACAGCCAAAACTGGTTGGGCTCATGGCCTTCCACCTGTTCATGAGGCTGAAGCTACAACCCTACATACAGCCATCCAATGGATAGTAGCTTTGAGCCTCATCCACGTAACCATTGAGTCGGATTGTAAATCTGTCCTTGATGCTCTATCTAGGACTCAATCACACCACTCAGAATATGGGTCTCTTCTTAATAAGTGTAGAAGATTGCTACACAATCATCCGAACTTATCACTAAAGTTCATTCTGAGGCAAACGAATTGGGTCGCTCACTGTTTAGCTAGGGCGTCACGACGTTATGCTAGCTCTCACACTTTTGAATTTATTCCCTCATGTATTGTTCCAATTATTTTGAATGAAACCCTCAAAAAAAAATATAATTACTACTTATATCAAACAAAATTTTTATACTAATTTCATTATCAATAAAAATATTGCATAATTAATACAAGATAATTGTCTTAATTAGTCATTTTCAATTATGTTATTAGTTGTGATGAGAGACTAGAAAACATTTTTTTTTTTTAAATTATAAGAAATAAAATAATAAATTTTAAATTTGAAGATTAGTCTATTTGATAATGACTTGACAAGTTATCAAGGACTAAAATAATTTTTTATATATATTTTAGAGACTTAAAACACATATTTTAAATTAAAAAACTGTATACAGAAACTAAAAAATAATTTTTTTAATTATAGTGAGTATTGGAGGACAAAAAAATAATTACCAAAAATTTGAAAGACTAAAAAATAAATTTTATCTTAAAAAATTAACTAAAAATAATGCATATTCATTTAACTCTTGGCTTAATTATATTTTTTGTCCTCTAATTTAATTTTTAAACAATTTTGGTCATCATAGTTTTAATGAATTGATTTTGATTTACACATTTTAAAAAATGGATAATTTTAATCCTTTTATTAGCTTACCATATAAGTTTTAACAAAGTCATGGTGTGGCAATTAGTTATTCATTAATTAGTCAAATTTTTTAATAATCAAACAACTTTGAATCCTATAACAAAAAAAATATTTTTGAAATCCAAAAACAAAATGACTTTAGACCTTTTTCTTATTCACTCATCCCTCTCAAATAAAACATCATGCTGAGCCAGTTAACAAGGCTACTAGAGAGCCGGAACGACCCAAACATAAAGTTAAGAAGACTCTTATTTTGGATCTCTTTAGAAAAAAAAAATTACATTAATATTTATATAATTTTTTTAAAATCTATAATTTAAAAATTTACTTTTTTTAAAAAAAAAAAGTTTATCCTAAAAAGATTTATCTCTTAAAAATATAAAAATATAATTATTATTTTTATATTTTTATCTAAAATATTTGAATCTTTTTACTAAAAAATATTATTAATTTTAAAAAAGTCTCACTTTAAAATTTATTTAAGACCTAATAATAAAGCCTCACAACCCGAAGTGCATAACACGTCAAAGCCAACTTTAAATCCTACACTAAAACTAAAGTCACAATGATTGCTGAATGAAAAACAAGGGAATCCTTGCATAGAGATTTGGTGTGAATGGTCACATAGGATATTTTAAAATTTAGTCACAGTTAAAATGCATTATTCCTTTCCAAAATTCAAACAAGATATAATATTAATTAGAGTCTTCTTACATGGGTGTTAGGGTGACACGTGAGCCAGATATACTTGATTTTCCTATAGGTCTTAAATTTGTTAGATGGACATACTTATCGTTTGTAAACAAATTTTGTCATTTAATTATTTATTTTATTGTTTGCAAATAAACTTAGAAATAAGTTCAATATGGTTTGAGCTTGCAGTTCTTGAATTTGACTCAACTTATTAAATTAAGAGGTGTAACAATAGTCTTGATTCAATGTACTTACTCAATTAACTCAATAAATTAAGTGGATTTGTGATATAGGACTTTGTATAGCTCGAAATTCTGTTATTTCTGTTATTGTAGAGATTATTCAAATTCATTTGTAAACATTTCTCAATTCTCTCTTAATTCAATACAGTTTTCGGGTTCCTTTCTGTCATAGGAGTTCCTAGTTCTTGCAATTCTTCAAATAGTTCTTCTCCTAGAATTGTATTCTATCAATTTGATAAAATAAAAATTAGACCCAAATCCATTTTGATCTCGACCAATCTGACTCAAATTTGTAATTACTAGCTCAAAGTGGATTGGATTAGTTTTGTGGGTCAAATTTATTTTATAATGTTACTTTTATGATTATTTTTATAATTATTAAGATAACAAATGATTAGCATTTGTTATAATATGTCATGTACCAAACGTAGAGTCATCAAAGTGAGCTCTCATCCTATGAGTTAATCCGACCCACTTTGAAAACGAGTTGGGTCAAGTCAAAAAAAAAAATTATGATTGGTCAAAAAATGTTATCCAGTCTACTTTCAACCCAGCCCATCCAGGTTAAGCTCGTGATGCGCTGGACTACCTACCTAACCCACTTACAATCCCATCAACTCAGCCCACTGACAATCCACTAACAACTCACTTAACTATTTATTATTATATACGTATTATTTTAACAATATAGTATTTTTTTATAGATAAAGATAAAATCAATGTTAAACAACATGAAATTGTTATAAATTTATTTACTCAAACCACCAATAAAATTTAATATTGATAAATAATCACTCTCATGAAAGGATTTTTATTTTTTTTGTTTTAATTTTTTAAAGTTGTACACTTTTTAATTTAAGTTTAATATTGTATGCATGATACTTAGTTTGATAATTTTTACTTTAGATTAGTGATTATTTCATATTGAAATTTATTTTAAATTATTTTTTTTTTAATAAAAATGAGGTGAGTTGGTGGGCCGAGTCAGACTAGAAAATTTTGGATAATAAATTTGGTGGGTCGAATCGGATCAACCCACTTAAAAAGTGAATTGAGATGGGACAGCTAAATGGGTCAAATTATCCAATTTTAACAGTTCTAAGTCTCTAACGAAAAGCGATTTCAGAATTTAGAATTTGTTACAATTAACATTATTTTATTTCTATTATTATCTATTATATTTTGCCATCTTATAGTATAAATAATAATAATAATAATAATAATAATATATTTTCTTACTTTAAGCTATTGTGATTAAAAAATGTTTAACTAGCTTATTATAAAAAATTAATTTATTTAAAAAATATTAAATTATATTCAGATAACTGAAGAAGTATATGTAAGGTGGTAGCTTGAAAGTACCTGGTCGCGAAAAGGTTCAGGTACACGATAGTTATGGCTATGCATTTGGAACCCTCTCCAGTTCTCAATCCCTGCAATTTCTGCAATTCTAGGAACCGAGTTATGACCCGAACACACCACAACCGCTTCGAATACTTCGCGGCTAACCGAACCGGATCCCCGAACCAACCACTCCACCACCCACCGACCCTCCTCCCTCTCTACCCGAACCACCCTCGTGCCGAACCTAGTCACCTTTCGTATCCCAAACTCCTCCGCAAACCGCTTTATAAAACGGAGCACTTCCTCGTGGCTCGGGAACGTTCTCGGGTCGTGTCCGGTCCTCAGGAACGGGAAGTCGCGGAAGCTCATGAGCGCCCTCGGGAGGTTGGTTCGGAGGGAGGCGTAGAGGCTCCCGTGGATGGTTTCGCGGTTCGGGTCGAGGCAGAGAGGGTCGGACTCGGTTCGCGGGTCGTAGACCCAGTTTCCTCCCACGTCGTCGTTTTGCTCGAAAACGACGACGTTGTGGCCTTCGCGTTGGAGCTCGCGCGCGGCCACGAGGCCCGATACACCTGCCCCGATTACCGCCACTTTCACGGAGCGATTCATCGTCATGAAACGACGACGTACGTTGCGCGCGGAGCACACAATGCCTGCAAAATAAAATTGCCTAATAATTCGTTTTAATATATAATACAAAGCCTTAATGTCTCCTAATAATTCGTTTTCATCTATATGTTTCAATATTACATCTATTTGTGTGAAAATAAAAAGATTGATGAAAAGATATACCATGGAAGAAAATGAATAATAACATTAATTACTGTTTTTTATATTATATTATTTAAAAATTGTTCTAGTTTGAAAATTTGTCTCTAGAAACTGAGTGGCTATCTAATACCTGAACATTCAAAGATATAACTTAGTCTTCTATATTATCTCTCTTATCCTTATATGGTGTCTAATACCTGAAAATTTGTCTCTCATATTGAATGATTTTTTATTAATTAGTGGCATTTTGACAATTTGGATATCCCATTAAATGTCACTTAAATCATGTTCGGTGCTCTTGCTTCATCTAAAACCGGTTTCAAGCCAACGAGTGGTTAAGTTTTGGAATGGCAATGGTACGGAGAGAATATGAATTTATCTATTTCTTTTCTTGTATCTATTCTTATTCTTGTCTTTATATCTAATGAGTATGAAATTTATATTCTCATCCCTGTATTTATTAGATATCAAGTATCTAAAAATTAATTACATATCATTTTTTTTAACAAAAAAATATAATAAAAAAAATAATTAACATAAAGTTATATTAATTAAATTTTATTTGATATAAATTAAAAAAATAGGGTAAGAGTTACATAAATGTTAAATAAATTCTAAAGAAAATAAATTAAATATTTAAAAATTTAAAACAGATACGAGTACAAGTATGGATGTCAACAGGGCAAGACGGATACGAATAGTAGCTCCACACTACCCTCCTCAAACCCGTCCTCATATTTGTGCAGGTATTCGTTGAGCGGGTAAACACATATTTTTTCAATATCCATAGTACTTACACGAGTATTTACTAAAAAAATATCTTAAAAATATTTAACAAAATATTTTAACCATACATATTAGTTATTATAATAGTTTTTTCTTTTAAAAGTTATAAAAATATGCATGAAAAGGTTTGAAGATTATAACTAAAATTTGAATAAAATCTGCATAAAAAAATTTGAAGATTATAAAATTAAAATTCAAATATTCTTCACAATTATACTAATAACAATGAGTAGTTAGATTTAAAAACTGAATTTTAAACGTTCAATCAAGTTTAAAATTCAAACAATAATTGTTAAAATAAAATAGTTTGATTACACATAAACCAAAATAAAATATAATAAAATATAATACTTAACTATTATAAGTCCAAATTAAACCAAATTTATACAAGTTTAAATAAAATTAAATTCATACAAGTCCAAATAAATTAAATATTAACAGGTACGGCTATCCACGAGTAAGGATACTATGATACCCGTACCCTCCCTGTTAACCTGTTACTTATAGGTATTCATTTATAATATTTATTTTCTATTTGTTGCAAAAAAAAAAAATTGTGGATGCTTGCGGGTACAGATTTTTTTGACATCCCTAAGTACGGGTACCAAGGGTATGTATATACTCATTCTCATCCCCATCCTCGTATCTAATTTAATTAATCGAGTATTATTGTACCTGTATCCGTGCCCGATGAAATTAGATATTCTCCATCAAAAGTTAAGCCATTGTGAGGGAATAAAATTGGTATTTTGCCTCTCAATTTTTTTCCCATGAATATGACCAGATTTAAATCTTACTCCACTAGGTAGGGATGAAAATGGGTATGGTTTGGGTGGGTCTTATAATAATCGTCTCCATACTCTCGTTTAAAAATAATACATGTATACGGTCTCAATCCGCATGAATAACAATTTTAATCATCATCCTTGTACCCGCTAGGTATTCGTCTACCCATACCCACACCCACGACTCCCATTTTACTTATATATAAAGTAAATAAAATAATAAATTAATAAAGATAACATTTCACGCAGACAAACATAATATTAATTTGTTATGTCTTTAAAATTACATAATTTTAGTATGACAATTCTTATAAAATAAAGATTACAAAACATTCAATTCTTGTAAATAAAGTTTTAAAAAAATCAACATAATAAAAGTTGTAATTAAACTTCCAACATCATGATTATGTGTTAATAATATTTTCCACAACTTGTGAAAAAAATTATACTGAAATTAAAATTATAAATTAAAATACATACTATAAATTTCAAAAAACAAATATAATTTAAATAAATAAAATATATATATATACTTCATACTCATTCTCATATAAATAGATATTTACCCGTCATATATGTAGATATATTTACGAATAACATTAGGGTCCGCAACCATTTTATCATCTCTACAACTAGGGAGTTTAGCTCATTTGGGTTAAACAAAATGTGTGAGTATTATAAATCCTTATTACTATATTTGATTTTCATGAATCAAAAAGTACTTAAAATTGAAAACTATTTATCTACCGATTGTATTTGTTATTGTTAGCTTTTCTTTTTTATCCATTGCTAATTATATTCGTCTTTCCTTAATTTGAAAACAAAATTAAGTAGAATGAAATGCGATGAAAGTATTATATTATATTAAACTATTAACTATATAATTTCTTAAAATTTCAATTATTTTTCAAATAGTAAAAATGATTTCTTTACTTCATTTTACTGTAATATATCTTAAATAATAATATGCAATCATATCTGTTCTTACCGGAATTTGGCCGTAGGGATGGTCTGCCCAGTAAGATCAGTGAGCCTCCTTTGCTTGATGTGTTGGTGCTCCAAGATGGGGGAGGTACCTGCAAAAAGAGACTCCGATGCCAAAATTAAGATTTGCACGAATAATAGTCTCATATATATAATGTACGTACCTTGAGGTGATTTAGGGTTGCTTTGGGCCTTGGGCCTGAGATCCCCGGGTTCCGGTGTGATTAGCCCGGGCTCCGGGCTGTTATTGTTCGGTGCGTGCCCGATATGACCTTTATTTCGCTAATCCAGGCTCAGAGCCCGGATGCGGAATGCAGTTAGTACAATATCCTATTTTATTTTACTTATTAACTATTCAAACATGTATAAAAGTTTAATGGTAATTGATTTTCTAGAAGTGCACATCGTACGTTTTTCAAATTTTACGAGTCGTAAACTTTTAAAATTCATCTAAACTGGTCTATGGTCTATGATGGCGGCTCATCAAGTATGGACTTTAATCTCGTGGGATTTTTTTCTTCAATATACTAAATATATATATATATATATATATATTTATATTTATTTATTATTGATGATATCACGATTTTAAATTGTGATTAGGATCGCGATTATTATAGTTGTAGGTATTGTGATGTGGATTGCAACTATTGCAACGTAAAATTATTAATTATTTACATTAAATATTATATAAAAAATTATAATTATCGATATATTTTTTTATAATTTATACATTTTTATTCCTGTTTTCTTAAAAATATTCTATTATTTTAGTGAATAATTTAATTTATTTTAAAATTAATTTAAAAATAAGAGAAACACAATAGTGGTTGAATTAATTCCTGCTTAATATTTGTCATAATTTCTCAAAAGCAAATTGTCTCATTGACACAAATAAAAAATTAAAGGCATATACATGTAGACAAATTTCAAATAGATAAGAAAGAAAAAAGGAAATGGCTTGACATAGAGTAAAATGATTGCCTACAAGTTTCATTGTTATCAATTATTTGACAAATAATGTCATCCTTCAGAGATGCATTTCACTTACAAGGAAAAAATATGAAAAAAAAATTCTTAATATTGTAAAACTATAAAAAGCATGAATGTTTTTTCACAAGTAAAAAATTATATATAATAAAATTTTAACTCACATAATATTTATTACCACATAGTAGAGTGACGAGGATGATTATAACCTCCACTCTCGCTTTGGCTATCCTCTTTTGTGGCTCCTTGTCCAAAAACATAATAAAAAAATCTACCACTTTGTTGTTGATATAAAAGATCATTATAATTCATTGATGGTTGATGGTATGAGGGAACTTGGTTACTTGCATATTGATTGTATGCATTAAAATAAGGATATTGATAAACTGGTGGTGGATAGTACCCTTGACTACTTTCTGAAGAATCATCAATATTGAAATCACTAAAACTTTGTTCAATATATAAAGATGGAGAATCTTTACATGATGCATTTTTTTTCCTCTTCTAACTCGTGAATTGTCTCTTCTATTATTACCTGGAAATGAATGATCAATGTAATATCCATTTTTTTATTATTATTTATTAATGGCATTTTCGTAAATTTTTATAAAGGTATAGAGTGTTTTGGTAATTTAGAACGGGCTTTTCCAAAAGCGGAACGGGCCGTTCCAAGCACCAAAAATGAACTAGTTAAGAAGTTAAGAACGGGCTGTTCCAAAAGGAGAACAGGCCATTCTGGTTTTGGAAGGGGCCGTTCTAGAAGGAGAACGGGCCGTTCTGGATGAGTCTCGGAACGGGCCGTTCTGGTTTTGGAACGGGCCGTTTCAGTTCAAAAATTTGCGTAGATTTAAAGGGCCCAGAACGAGCGTTCCACTTTTAGAACGGGCCGTTCCGGGTTAGGCAGGGCAAAACTCTATAAATAGGGGCTGGGGTGTTTGGAAAAGGAGTATCCCGATTCACAAGGAGGATTTTGAGAGAGGAGGTCCTAGAGAGAGAAAGAGGAGAGAGAGAGAGAAAGAAAGAGAGAGGAGGGGAAAGAAAAGAGGAAAGAGAAAGAGAAATCCAAGAGAAGGAGGTTCTGCTAGGGGAAAGAAAAGAGAAGGGAGAGGAGGAGATTCTGCCCTAGTTTCGATTCTTGTTTATCCAAGTAAGGGTAATACTTATAAGACTTAATCTAGTATGTATGAGCATGATAGGGGTAGTATAACTTTTAATATACTATTTTGTTTATATGAAGATTGTCATTTATTTAAGTTGGTATTTGTTTTAGGTGTTTAATTATTTATATTATTATATTGAATGATTTGGCATGGTTATGGAAAAGTTTGTATGTAATTATGGAATATGCTATGTATGTGTGGTTTGGAAAGCTAATAGAACTTAGAGGAGTAAGGTTATGGTATGGATTAGATCTCTTGGTGAGATCAGGATATAATCTTTAGAAAATATGGAATTTGGGAAT